TAAGAAACCCTCCTAAACTGCCTCTCCGGACCCCCTCATTATCTTTGTGACTAAATTTCTAGGAAGAACAAAAACAACTCACACCATTCATGCCAAAAGTATTTGAAGGCAATGTATATCTCCAACCAACATAAAAAGGAAAATCAAATTCCTATCAGTCTTTATTAACAGCTTAAGTGCCACCAAGATGAATATACTGTAAACATGCAGAATGTCCATAATTAAGGAAAAATTACCAAGTAAACTTGAATGTTGATAGAAATCAGAGAATCTAATTAAGACAATGCCCAAACCTAACAAATTGTTCAGAGAGTTCTCTGGTGTTGCCTAGCTAGAAAATTAAGATTTTCCCAATATTTTACTTCAGCAAATTATTAGAGATGGCAATTCTGCACCACAGTGATTTCATTATATTTTCTAGAGGTTCTATGGCCCTATAATATCCTTTTCAAATGAAATAAACTGTAACTGTATTTACAAGCAAGCTAATTGACTATTTAGGACCACAATTATTAGAAAATTAAAAGTTCTGGCCAGCTCTTTCCTTGACTTTAATTATTCATGCCTTGTGTCAGTTGCCTTCAACTGTCTTTTCTTATATAATCAGTTTTGCAAAACCCACCAAAAACTATGTACTTACTGCATTTGAGAAAGTTAGGCCCATTTCTGCAATAAGAGCATTGGTCTTTTTCAAAGGTGTCTGAAATAAAGGAAATATATAAAGAACTGTACTTTGTAAAAAAGGAAGATTTTACAACTACAATCTTAAGATTTACTAAGAAGTAAATAACACTAAATGCGCTAGAATTTTTCCCAACTGCACATTTTGAGGAGCTGCGTATACAGTATTCCAGTTAATTCAGAACTGTTTGATGTTGCATGCTTTAATCTTCAACAATAAAACTCGATGCACATAGAGATGCAAAGCAGATACTATTAACATGTTATAATAGTGGAATTATATATTAAATAGAAAATACCTTTAACTGAAATATTGTTTGAATGTGAAACACTCATGCTTCACCCAATTATTTATTAATAATGAGAATAGTATGTAGTAAACAACTTTTTAGAAAACATATTTTAAACAAATGTCATTCACGGCCTATTCTGATGGGTAATTCAATAAATATTCTGAATTTTTTGTCTTTCCAGTTTCCATGGAATCTAGTTTAAAATATTCAAAGATTGCTTCAGGACTCTGCTAGTATTTTAAATAGCATGAGCCCCGAACCTGAAGCACAAACCAGATATTGTTCACACCCCAAAGAATGTAATAACAAATCTTGAGGCAGAAAATCCCACAAGCATTCTGCTAAGGAATAAGAGCACAACCCATAAATTAAACAATTTCCTTCCTTTTAGATCACTCAGAATCAGCTGCTGCAAATGGGCTGCTTAATTCTAGAGCAATCCCTGCTAAACACCAACAGATGCAACTATGTCCCAAGACTTTGCATTTTCCTACTGTCTCAACACTTATTTTCATTGGTTCCACTACAGGTGCATGCAGGATTGTGTGCATTTCGTCTACACACCACTATAGCTGCAACTGTTTTTAAAGTATAATAAGAGGATCTTTTGAATCCCCTTTTTAAATCATGGAATGGAAAAACAATCACACACCAAGTCTAGTGTGTGTGTGTGTGTGTGTGTGTGTGTGTGTTGCTTCCCTGATTACCGCTCGACTTCAATCCTCAATATCCCCACCTAAGAAGCGGTAACTTCTTCTATTCAAGAAGTTCCAGGTGGCTTCAGTTCTCTCGTTTCCCTTTCCCTTATTCATGCATGTTTGCTCAGAACTAGGTTCCATAGTGCTCCCGCCACTGCAAGCTGCAGGAATGCAAAACAGAGGGTAGCACAGATGCATTATCAGGACACTCCATCCCGAGTTCTGTGGGCACCGAGGTCGTTCCAGAGTGCTTTCTCCCCTCCCTCAAAGATGACGGGGCTATTCTATGCATCCGTCACTACCGCATCGGAAACTCTCCGAACCACCCGCATTCACTTCGCCTGCTACCCGAGGGTCCATCTCTCTCCCCACCCCACCCCACCCCATCCACACGGCGCGTAGAACAAGAACAAGGCTACCATCCCCCCCAGGTAGACGTCCTGGTCATCTGTTAGAATCAGCACCACATTGGGCTTCCGCTCCCCGCTGAGACCCGTTGCCCCTGCTTTAGCGCCGACCCAAGCAGTGGAACCGAGGACCACCAGGAACACCAAAGGCCGAGCCAGAACCGGGCAGGCTCGAGCCATCCTCGCCAGGCGCGAACGGAAGGGAAAGAGGAGAGCAGCTAAAGCACCCGACCAAGCAAGAACAGTCGCGAGACAAGGAGGCGTAGCGCCCTTCCTTATTTCTCCACTCCTCTCCCCTCTGATAGGCTGACGGACGGAGCCAAATCAGGTTCACGTGACCTAGAGACCTCCGGCAACTTCCGCGAAGGCCGTAAACGCGCTCCGGGTCCACCCACTTGCTCTGCCTTTGCTGCCGCGCTCCGGTTGTGATTGGCTCCGATCGCTTCAGCCGTCGGATTTCCTCGAGGGAAGGTCGCCGAAGGGCGGCGCCAGGATTTCATTGGTGTTAAGACGCTGAGTCCTATCACCTGTTTAGGGGCTGGATGTTTGTCTCAGCTTTGAATCGTATAAATCGTAAGAACAATGATGTATTACCGTATAATCCTTTACCAAATCATGGAACAAAATATTGTTTAAAAAAAACACAAGAAAATAATATTTGCAAACTGTCAAATTAGTTACCTCGTAGCTAATTTGTATCCAACAACTTTAATGGTGGGCATTGCAACAGTTCATATATATCTGATCACACGGTTACAATTTTCACATTTAGCTATAGATGAATGAATGTATGCTTTTAACTTATGATAATGGCTGCAGTGGCTCAAAATATACATAGGTTCATTAGTTATTAAAATCTCAGACTCTTTTTTTATCCTGTTTATCCAAGCCAACATTGTTGGTTTGTGAATTCTTTAGGAATTCTATTTATAAACTGATTTAAATGCTATCCATACTGTGCACAAAATATGAAACTGTATGTTAAATCTTTCTGCCTCTCAGATTGAAAATAAAACAGAAGAAACTGAAATTTGACCTTGAAACAGTCTTTTAGCACAAAGTTAAAAAGGGGAGGCGGTTTTCCAGTGGCCTGGACATATGATTGCAAGAATTATTTGGGAGAGCATTAAAATTCAAATCATGATTAATGCTTCTGTATTTTATGGGGAGGAAATCTGTAAAATATTGTAGTTTGCTCTTAATAGCCTTCTATAAATATTTTATCACTTCTGTTCTTAGGAAGAAGCAGATTTTGAGTCATCAAATAGGAGCCTATCCAACAGGTTTTGTTTTCCCTAGAACTTAAAAAAAAAGCATGGGGAAAAGTACTTATAAGAAAAACATTTTTAAAATGTTATGTAAATATTCAGTTTATTTTAGTTTAATAATAGCAGTTCCATGCTAAATTATCTTGAATGTTGCCAAACAGCAAAAGTTTCATTATGTAACCAGTGTATTTCTTATAGCTAGAAGTACCCACCCAGAATGGAGAATTTTGTATACTTCAAGTAATTGCAGTCCTATAAGTTGCAAATAAGTTCTATAGCTTTTACGCATTCTTTATTTAATGAGCTTAATGCAGCCATGAAAAGAATCAGTCATAAATGTAGGTTTCCTGGTCTGTTATTCTTCCAATCAAAATGTATGCTTGGAGTAATAACTCTTAGGCTGTATTTGTATGATAGCTAATTCTGGTTAACTATAGTTTGTTCTGTCCAGTTCTTTAAAGTCTGCATAACACACTGAACACAACCCACTAGGTTAAGAGGTCTAATCTGGGATTCAATGCATTTTGTGAATCCAGCCTTAAACTGAGGGTGAAGTAGAAATTGCATGAAAAGTGAGGTGTTATGTTGCCATGAAACAAATAAAATTATGATCCAGACTTTTAAGTGATGCTTGTTTTTAACTTCAATGTATATATGAGATGCTTTATCCACACATTAGCCAAATATTAGTCACTTAATGATCCAGTATGTCACACAATTTTTAAATGTTGGGTCAGATACTGTGTTTAAATTAAGTATGGGTTAATTCTTGTGTAAGATAATAATTCCTACTCCAAGCATGTTTTATAAATGAAATATCACAGGTCGGATACTATACTTCTGGCCTGCAGAAATAAGTTTTCTGCACATATTAAAATGTTTTACCTAGTATGGTTATGTTTAGCTGGCATGAAGCTTCCCTATGTTTATGGTTTAGTTTATGGCAGTGGCTATAGAAGCACATGCTTCTACCATGTGCTTATCCTTTATTAATTTACTCAGGATAAACTTGATAATCTGAATTTAGACAACACATCAAACCAAACTATCACACTGGCTGGATATACACAGTGAGTTGCATTATAATTTGGCCAATCACAGAACCAGTTTGATCTAGTGGTTAAGACACCAGACTATAAACTGGGAGACTGAATTCTAGTCCTGCTTTAGGTATGAAAATCAGCTGGGTGACTTTAGGCCAATCAAATTTAACCAAACTTGTTGCATGTATCCAGAGAAGTTGCATTCATTAAGTAAATAATTGTTAAATTAACCTTGGCTTATGTTGTGCAAGGAAAGTTACTGTTTTGCTGTCCATTCACTTTTTAATGGTGTATAGTTTTTCCTTTCCAAAATGGAAAATTATGCAGGTCAGCCACAGCTATTAGCTGAAGTATAATCATTTGTTTTTGCTACCTGTACCAGTTTCAGTGTGAAATCTGGATCACTTTTCTAGAATAGATAAAGTTCAAACTGGTTAATGAAAAACCGGCCAATCCCATCTACTGCAGCTGGAGGCTCCCTTTGAAATTAGCAAAGGACCGGTGATTCGAAGTGAGCTGATTGGCTCCTGGCAACAGGTGCAGAGCGGAGATTGGTTGGAAGCCACTACCTGTTAGAGGGGTGAGGAATGCAAGCCGACAGTGTCGCAGTCTAATAGAGGCTGGGAGGGATGTGACGCTCTGCCGGCGCAGGTCCTCCGTTGAGCAGAAGGGCTTTCCCTTCCTCTTCCACCTCCGTTTCGTGGAGAATGGGACAAACCCGGAACTCTGGCCTGAGAACTGTTCAGGCGGCGAAAGCGTTGCTCATCCCCTTCTCTTAGTAGCGGCGCTCTGCAGCCGCTGCGCCCGAGGCGCGGAGAAAGAGCCCAATGGAGCTCTCGGAGGTCGACTTGGGCGACGACAGGGAGGGCGCTGGAGCAGAAACGGGCAGATGCGTTGCGGAGCTGCCTGCTCGGAGCAGAGTAAGCAGCAAGGCGGGCAGCCTGGTGGAGGACGAAGAAGCGGATCAGGAGCCCGGCCGGAGCAGAAGGGCCAGCCGCGCCTCCTCTCTGGTGAGTGGGCTGCTAACCGAGCTCTACAGCGTGGCGCGCGTTCGCCACCGCGACAGCGTAGACAGTTCCACGGAGGCGTCCGCCGGCTCCGACGCCTTCCCCGGGGGGAGAGGCAGCAGCGCTGAATCCCGCGTCCTGCAGGAGCTGCAGCTGAACTCGGGTCAGCGGCACCAGAGGAAGTACCTGGCTCAGAAAGGTAAAGCGGACCGAGGATGCCTCCAAGGTTTCCCCTCCACTGGGCCCCGTGTCGTCCTGTCGTCCCCCGGCCGATACGAACCAGGGAGCTGGCTTCTCTGTCTGAGAGACGAGCTGGACTCGGTCTGCGCTGGATGGTCTTTCTGGGAGTTAAAAGCAGGGCAAGCAAGTTGGCAGAGAAAAGATAAAAATGAAGCGATCGGGATTATGATAAACAGAGCTCCATTAAAATATAGGTAAATGCCCAGTCCTGGTTGTGAATTTATGGCAGGGCTGTAGGAATTCAGTCTGAGATGAAAGGTAATGAAAAGCAGAGTCTAATGTTTTGAGGATTACAAAAATGAAAACCCTTTAAACCTTGATTCTGCTTCTTTATTTGCCCTGATCCTCTTATTTGAAGAAAGTGTTTCAGTTAATTGAGACATATGTCAGTCAAAGCAAGATTTTCCATTCTTGTTTCTTATAGGATTTCATTTTGTTAGTTGTCTGCAATAATAACATGGTGACCTAACAAAATGTTTACAAGGATCACCAAGATGGCCCATGTGAAAGCTGAAAAGATACTTTATAAAGGATAAGAATTATCAGCCGCCAGATAGACGTGTGTGTGATCACTCATATTTGAACTAAAATTTTCTCTGGTGTTAATTCCAATTGCATAGAAAGCCTGTCTAAAAGTAGTGCTTGGCTGTTAGCCTCTTGCTATTTAACATACTTCATTAGTGTATAACTCAGAACTGAACCTTTAAAGTATCTTTACAGTAAAGTTTGTGCTATAATTTTTGTTAGGTGTAGAAAATATTCTTTTTCCCTGGTAGATTTTTGCTGTGTCTGTTGCTACTGATTTTTTTTTTTAAATAAAGTGTTGGGTTTTGTTAATGAATGACAGTTTGATATCTGATTTAGTATGTCTATTATCTACAGTTACTTATTAGTGATAAAACCTCTCATTTGTTTTAACTACAGTAATTTCATGAATGGTCACCAACTGCTAACTTAAAATATCAGTTTGATGTCTGTTTTTGTCCACTAGAGGGTGCCTTGTGAGTGCATGGAAGATTTTAAAAAAAGGTTTTGAGTACAACCTTATTTAATTACCTAGAATTCGATAGAGTATCAGTGTTTTATTTTGTCTAAATCTAATGGCAAATTAAGATTGCTATGAATTATTTTGATTCCATATGATGTCACTATATAAAGAAAACTTAAATTAGAATTTTATATTTGAAAATTTCAAATTCAGTCTATAGTAAAATCAAATTGACAGATTAAGGTTCAATTCTATACATACCTATTTTGGAGTAAAAGTATTTGAAATCCATGCAGTTGTTCTAAAAATTTTAAACATTTTAATTAAATAATTATTGGTAAAATTCAGATCTTCTAAAATGTATTGAATGCCAATAATAAATAGGTTTATTCATTTCTGGTTGTTTCAGTTAAACTCATCAAATAGTTTACTATCTCTATAGTGTCCTTCTTACTAATATTTCAGTAATGAACCATGCATGTCCCAAGTTAAAGAATATGTTCAAAGAATATGTTCAAATCTAAATTTTGTTACTACCGGTTCTGTGGGTGTGGCTTGGTGGTGGTGGGTAATATGACTGGGTGGGCGTGGCCAACTTTTTTTTACTTTTAAAAGCATTTTTTCTACAACCTTAAGAGGTTGTAGAAAAAATGCTTTTAAAAGCCTCTGACGATCCCAGCTGAGCCGTGCGGTCATCAGAGGCTTTTTTTTTAAACTTTTAAAAGCATTTTTTTGGCCGAAGAGGTTGTAGAAAAAATGCTTTAAAAAGTAAAAAAGAACACCCTCTGATGATTGTGTGGCTCGGCTGGGCATGGAGGAGGGGGGGTGCAGGGATTTTTGCTACTGGTTCTCCAAACCACCACCCGCCATCGCTACCGGATCGGGTGATCCGGTCCAAACCAGGAGCATTTCACCCCTGGTTCAAAGTTATATGGAGAATTTGGATGTGGTTTTAATTAATGATTGCCTTGCATTTTTCACAGGAGTGATTCCAAATAATAACATTGATGCCTATCATTTTCCTACAGTATTCTTTTATAAGACTTTGTAGTATATATTACCTTACAATCATGCTAAGAATTTTACCAAGGGATAAGACCCTTTTGAAGAAAATCATACTGATTATCAAAGAGGAAAATAGATTTTAAAGTTGCAGATTGCATCCTTTGGCCCTTTTTTCTTTTCTTGACAGATACTAGTGAACTGACAACAATAATACAGGAGTTGAATTATAGAATTTGTGTTCAGTCAGCCAAACTGCTTCGCCTTCTGAAACAAAAGGACAGACTTTTACATAAAGTCCAGAGGAACTGTGATATTGTAACAGCCTGTTTACAGGCAGTTTCCCCCAAACGACGTAAGTACTATTTATGTTAATCCAGAAATATTATAATTTTATTCCAAATATTATGCTACTGTTGCATTTTCAAAATGCTTTTCAGGACAAGAAAAATATATTTCTATAAACTTTCTGTAGTAATGTGGATAAGAAAATCATATTTTGAGTTAAACTTTCTAAGGATTTATCACATAGAATTGCAGGATATTATTGGTAAAAGTTTTTATATAGTAGTATTTTAGAACTAAAAGCTCTGATTGTAACAATATATTTGTTCAAATTCATGAGTCCTGATTTTTATATAACAAAAGTTCAAGGCTCCATGCAGCACATATTTTCCAAGTAGTAAATCCATTGTCAGCGTGAAGGCCAGTGTCCTTAGTTTCAAGGAAACAGGAATTCAATTATAATTTCTTCAATCTTAGAAACACTTTATTGGAAAATATACCTAATCATGATTACAAACTCTACTACAGTAATGTATGTCACACAAGTTATTCTCATAAATGTTTTAAAGCTAACTGTCTTGTGTCTTTTTCATTAACATGCAGCATGGCAATGTGCTATCCACAGGTACAGTACATAAACTAGTTTGAACTGCACTAAAATGAACTGGTGCATGCAACTATCCATGTTAAATGTAGAATTTTTAATGATCTTCCAGTTCTGATTTTAAGGGGTACGAGATTAGAAATTTCTACTATTTGATTTTAGTAGCTGATTAGAATTTTGTATAATATACTGTATTTTTCGGAATATAAGACACACCTTTTCCCCCCTAAAAGGGGGTGAAAATTTAGGTGCATCGTATACACCGAATGTAGCCACGCCCACCCTCTGGCCCCCACCCTTTGGCCTCTGCCTCGTAGCAGTTACCTCCTTGCAAGCAAACAGCAAGAAAAGACAGCTCCTTTCAGCTTCAGCACAGCCTAATTAGCACAAGTTGATTGGATCGGCCTCCCGACTCTCAGCTGATTTGCTCTCAGCTGTTTTGCACAGGGTTCTGATGCTTGCTGCAAAAAGATAAATTGCTGGAGCAGATTTTTTTTCCCCCTTGTGCTAATCAAGCTATGCTGAAAATGAAAGTAAAGCAGGCTGTTTGCTGTAACCAGGCAAAATTGCTCAGAGGCAGAGGGAGATTTTTTTTTTCTTCTTTTCCTCACCAAAAAAGATAGGTGCGTCTTATACTCTGGTGCGTTTTATACTCCGAAAAATACGGTAATCCTGGACCTAAAACATGGTTCCTTGGAAGTAAGAGCCACTCTGTTAAAGAAAATTTATTCCGGGAAACATGCATAGGTTGCAGGTTACACCACAGATTCTTTAAATATAAATTTGGATCATACTTCAGAGATGTAGACTAAGCATAACTAGAGGGTTTTTTTGCTTTGGCAAAATAACTAGCCTGAAAATAAAAATCAACTAGCATGACAATGGTACTTTTGCATGATTTCCTGTGATGTTTTGCAGTATCAGTTCTGAAAATCGTATGAATGCAATGTTTTGCTTAAAGCAGGAAATAAATTGTCCAAACAAAACTGCAAAACTCAGCTATATTTATAAACCTGAATGTCTGCCAAAATTTATAAACACACAGACACATTTGTGAATGTGAAAATAATAATTAAACTCACCTCAACATTATTTTTAATACCACTGCAAGAAGGCATTATTCCTCAATGTGGACCCATATTTAATTATTGGAATGGGAGGGAGGAGCTCCAGGTTCAAGATCTTATTTGGCCATGGAGCAAAGTTGGTGATCTGCGGACAGATGGTCAGTTTACATGTAGCAGCAGGGCTGAGCCCAAAGGACAAACAGTAGAAAAACTCAACTCTCTTCTTCCTAAAGTCCCCTGAATTTTATGCACCATAGCCTTGCCTACTTGCCCTGGTATGCAGCTTGGTAATTATTATTATTGTTGCCATCACTTATCTTCTAGAGAGATACCTTTACTTGGTGCCCTGTCCTTTGCACTCAGCATGTATATAGCTAAAGATTCCACAGCTTTTATCCTTACTGTCCAAGAATAGAAAAAAATGATAAAAAAGTATCATTTAAAATTGGGGACATCTGCAGCAACCCAAGATTTCCTCAAAGTGATGATATATGGGCTAAAACACCACAACGCAAACACTGTCTCTTATATACTTGCATGCAATATCAGAATAGAAGTACTAAAGGGCAACGTTTACATTGGGGTATTGTGCTGAACCCTCTTGTTTAGGTTCAGCATTGTCAAAAGAAGTTGGCTAGTTTATTTAAAGTTTCCTTTATAGGCTATAGTCTAAGGGAGCTCATCCACCTTTGAGAAGATAAGGTTAATATATGGGCCTTAGAGTGTATCTACGTAACATGGAGATAAACAAAATTGCCATGCCTACACTCTTTGCAGCAAAGACAATGAATTGCTACAGTTGTCTCTGGGTAACAGTGGTAATTGGGACCAGGAATTCCATTGCTAAAATAACATGGCCACAAAGCATGATGTGACATGACCGCACAGACCTATAATAGCAGTTCCAGTTGCAGTCATTAAGTACAAAGTCATGTGATTGCCATTTGTGACATCTGACAGGCTTCCCCATTGACTTAGCTTGTTGGAAGCCTGTAGTGAAGGTTGTAAAGGAAGACCACATGACCATGGGATGCTGTGATGTTGTAATTGCAAGCTGGTTACCAAACACTTGAATCATCACATGATGCAGGGGCACGGTAACGCCCACAAATACAAGAATCATTCATAAATCTCCTTGTTCAATGCTGTGATAACTGAATGATTGCTGAATGAATGGTCACTGAACAAGAACTACATGTATTAGAATTTAAAATTGTGGTAGCAAGAATCAATCCTGGGTTCACCATTACAAAGCCATAATGTAGCTCATTCAGTCTCTGATCTGTTTTCCATATGAACCATTGCCTAGACTGGGGAATATCTGGTTTAATATTTAGAATTATCATAGCATTGACTAATACTTATCTGCTCACAGTAAGAGGCACATTTGAATAGATGTATTACATTTGCTTTGACATGAAACATGTTGCATTATGGAATGGAACCTTGTCGCATTATGTTGTTTTTAATAAGATCCAATATTGTACTTTCCTCCTTTGTGTCTGCTATAGTCTTAAGATCTGCCAAAGGAGCTTGTGTATACTTTCCATTTCTGAAATTTGTATAGTCAGATGGAGTACACAACTTGGTTGTAAAAAGATTGGGCTAAACTTTGGTGATGCTATCTTGATTGTGGAATGTTTTGGTACAAATGTTGGCATAACAGTGGGTATCAGTTTAAGGTTTAGATTTTACTAAACAGATTTTACTGTATTTTTTCAATTGTAAAGTTTAAGATATTTGGGATATAAACATACCTTGGTAAATAAAATGCTTTGCTACAATAATGCATACCTTTGATTCAGTATTGCCTTAAACTAACTGGTTTTCCTCAGTTCTATCTCAATAGGCTAATAATGTAATCTGTAGTCTTTATCGCTTTATTCTGTATTAAGGTAATGCTGTTTCATTAGCTTAAGGTTTCTTGGAGTTGTCTTGTTTACAAATAGTTTACATGTGTGAATTTCTTAATACTATGTGTGGTAGTATTAACCAATTCAAGGATAAAATTATGCTGAACTCTTTGAACTCTTGCTGTTAATATTGTATTGAAAAATATTTTGAGTTTTTATCTAGGAGACTTTTCTTTTGTAAATATATTATAGCACTGCTTCTTTTGTTGGCCTGGGTATTATACACTGCTCAAAAAAATAAAGGGAACACAAGCAGAAGACATCCGAGATCTGAATGAATGAAATAGCCTTATTAAATACTTTGTTTGTTACATACAGTAGTTTTGTGTTCCCCTTAGTTGTTTGAGCAGTGTATACTTTGTTCTTTACATACAGTAGTTTATAAACTACTGTATGTAAAGAACAAAGTATTTAATAAGGCTATTTCATTCATTCAGATCTTGGATGTCTTCTGCTTGTATTCCCTTTATTTTTTTTGAGCAGTATATATCTTTCCATTTGACAGATCTGCTGGAACTGATTTAGTTGCCCACCAAGGTTTTAAAATGCAGTTAGCAATCAACTGCTAAGCATAATTATGTGACTGAAAAAAGTCAACATGAGATCATAGGACATGATATACACTGCAAATGTGTTAAAGTTAACTAGGTAGTCCTTGATGTACGACCACAATTGGGACAGAATTTCCATTGCTAAGCAAGGCAGTTGTGCCGATTTTATGACCTTTTTTTCCATGGTTGTAGGCAAATCACTGTAGTTGTTAAGTGAATCATGAGGTTACTAAGGGAATTCAGCTCGCCTCATTGAATCTACTAAGGGAATCCAGCTCGCCAATTTGCTATTGGAAGCTGACTGGGAAGATCTCAAATGGTAATCACATGACCCCAGGATGCTGCAACCATCATAAACACATGTTAGTTGCAGAGTGCCTGAATTTTGATCAAATGACACTGGGAATGAGCAACAGTTGTAAGTGGTGGGTTTCAACCGGTGTTACCACCAGTTCGCTTCATGCACACGCTTCGCTTGACTGGTCCAAAGTCACCCAGCTGGCTTTCATGACTAGGCAGGGTTAGAACTCACCATCTCCTAGTTTCTCTTTCTCTAATAGAAAATTGCAAAATTCAAAGAAAAAGGATTTTAAAGAAGTGATTTCAGATTTTCTTTTGCAGCAGTTATAAATGTAACCTAAATTCCTACTCTATGCTACAGCATTGTTCACATTTTCTCAATCTATTCTCTATGTTGTGTATGAGCAATACAGAAAACTTCTACAAGCTTCTTTATTGCATACATGCTATCAGATATGATCCTGTTTTTTTCTTTTGAAGTCCATATTTCAAGAACACTACTATGTTGAGGGCCATTTGCTGAGTGGCTGAAGTAAGCAAAATCAGGCCATAGTAGGAAGTCAGAGACCCCCATTCATTTTTTAATCTTTTTGACATTCAACTGTTCCTTTAAAACAGCCAGAAACTGAAATAAT